GATTTTCATTTAATTAAAGATGGGTGATATGATTACTCTCCCATATGTAATAATTGGTATCTTCTGTTGCATTAAACACTGACAGTGTTTGAAGAGGTTTTGGGTACTGTACCAAAGGATTTTGGGTGGCATGTATGGTCCCAAGACTGAGATTGTGGTCCTCTTGCTATAAGCCCACTCACCACTTGATAATCAAAATATTGGGCAATAATTTTCATGTGAGACAGGATTGATTTGAAATGTTTACAGGGTGGGGATGTACTAGGCAAATTGTTCAGCATGGGCTTCTTGTGATCATCCCTTCCTATCAGCACTGCCACAGCACATTTGCTTTTCCCCTGGGCCTCAATTTTATCACTGTCCAGAAGTAGAGACAAAGCAAATCAAAGCTGTTTGTTTGTTTGGAAAGGACAAAGAAGCAGGCATTAACAGCAAGGAGGAAGGTATATTCTATGGGTCACAAGATTGGGCAAAGGCATTTTGTTGGCTAGAGGAACCAAATGGGTGTGCTGTAATGGCATGTGGGAATGACCTTGGGAGACAGGGAGAAGAAACACAGCCAAGGGAATGGTCAGATAAAAGGCAACTTAGCCCGCAGCTGGTTAGTGGGCAGGGCAAGCAGCTCAGAAGGGACCCTTCCTAGTTTCTTGGGCTGTAAAGGGGATGGGGGGAGAAATGTACTTTTCAGACTTGCAAGATTCTGTTAATGTAACCTTACAATAAATTAGGATTAGTGCATCTGGCTGTGCTTCCTGTCTGGTTTACCTTGCAATGCTGACACACGCACATCACATTTTAAATACACAAGCCAACTGAATGGGCAATAACCATTTTTCAACACTGCCTACAGGATAGCATTTTCCACTAAACCTGAAGGTAACAGGCTAGCTTCAGAAGCACTGAAGCAGCCAAGCTGTGCACAGCCCAGCATTATATGGCCATATAAGTCTTTTAAATTTAAATAAATACCTAAACAAACACTGTTCCAATGTCTTTCTCTCATCTCCCAACATCTGTTATCAGAATGATTAGCTCATTCCACCTAACAGAAGGACCAGCTGTAGTGAATCAACAATTGCCTCTTACTTACAAGCTGTTAGTTGTGCCAACCCCTGAAACTGCCCCAGATGTGGAATAGGTTCATATATAATTTTCATATTGTTTAATGTCCCTACAAAATATGGTAGATTTCAATGAAGACTGATGATGGTAGTCCAGGAAAAGATTGCTGAGTTACTGTTAATTTAATCAATTAAAATGTAGCAAACTTTAAACCCTATTTCTTACTTTGTTCTTCTTCCAAGGCCTCAGAATCCAATGGAAACAGGGGTCTGATGACTCGAGAAGCATTTGTCAATACAATGTCTGCAACAATTAAGCAAGGCACTAAGGAAGAATATGGTGAGCTCTTTGATAAGATAGACTTGATCCGAGATGGTCTTATTGATTGGGACAAATTGACTTCCTTTGTGCTTCTTGAGCTATATGAAAGAGATGAACGAACCAAACTGTCAGTCATCCCCCAATGGAAAGATCTCCGGTTTCTTCCAACGATTCACAAAGATGTTGTTCAGAATGTAATATGTTTTAAACACCCCAGCAAATACTTGACTGTAAGCAGGAATGGATTGCTTGGCTTCTGGGGAGAAAGTTTAAAGTTACAAAAGACGCTGCAAATCACTACAGAAGCAGTGAAACCCAAAGACCTCTGGGTAACCTCTCTGGTTGCATTACCAAATGTTAACAAGGTAGGTTGATGTATTGATGGAAATGGAGCACAATTTTTGAGGAGGTGGATGATGATGATGATGATGACGACTTTTCAATGGCACAGGAATGGTGATTCTGAACCAATATTATTTTTTCGCCTTTTTCTGTCCCCACTCCTTCTCCCACCCCTTAGGTAGCTGTTGCATTTACAAACAAAGAGATCCATTTTGCAGAGTTAAATTTCAAAAAAGGGTTCTCATGTCAATACAGGCTTCAAGGCTTTGAGGGAACAGTGACATGCATGAACTACTGGTATAATCCTCATGATGGAAATGAAGCTATTCTGACAATGGGAGATGTTTGTGGACAGGCAAGTATGGCACAACATCTAGAATTATGGTGCAATAAAATCTGGTTGTAATGCTATACATTCAATGCTAACAGTTTCATTGTACAAACCAGAGAAAGTTCCCTTCAAGGATTGGTACAAGAGCAGGCTGGAAGCAAGTCTGTTTGGAAAGTGTGGAGCTGTAGCCAAACTTGGTGTGGATCTGACAGATTTGAGTAGACCTCATGATGTGGGCTATTTTGCCTTCCTAGACAAAAGATCACATTAAAACATATTTTGTAGGCAAATTTGTGTGAAGAAAGGTGAGTGGAGGAGGTTATATTTAGCTAGGAAAAGTATATGATTTACCTTCAAACATTTGAATCTATGATGAAGAAATATGTTTTTTGTTAGAGTGGGAGCCAAACAATCATTTTCACACTCCAAGAAAAGCGAGTTCGGTTAAACTTTAAGAAAACCTAAAGATGTTCAAAGGTGGTAGCTGCTTTCAAAAGAACATAGAAAGCTGCTATAATGATTAATATTTATTCATTAGATTTATACTCAGCTTTTTCTTCTGGTGAGGAATAAAGATAACAAGGTATTGTCCATAGCATTTTGTCCTTCAGTTTTTCTCAGAACAATTTTCTCCACAAAAACAATCCTATAGAATAGATTGTGTTGAGCATGAGAGACTGGCCTGAAATCACTCAGTGAGTTTCCATGGCTGCAAAAGGATTTGAACCTGGACATGTTTAGCCATAGTTCAACACTTTAACCAATATACCATAGTGGCTCTCTAGAGCTACGGTCCATCCAGTCCTACCTGGAGAACCTAGAGACTGAACTGAACAATATTTGCATGCAAACCATTTGGTCTACCAGTGAGCTATAATCCTGCCATAGTAGACTTCTTTTCCTTACAGATTTTAAGCAGAGGTTGGATGGCATTCCTTGTGGACTCCTTGCATATTTTGAAATAGTTCCCTCACAATTCTATTATTTAGGTTTTCTTCTCTTGCAGAAGTAAATGTCAACTGAGCTCAATTGTTTCTCAATGCTCCTGTTCTTGAGCCACACAAAACTGATTTGAGTTGCCCAAGGCTTTGCTTATATCATTAACTTTAACTGGGTCCTCTTCTCTTTTTCTGATATTCAGGCCCTTGTTAAAGTAGACATATTGCCCAGATACACAGATCTAAGTTATTCCCATTGTCTCTCCTAAACATTTCCCTGAACTTTCATTAACAACAACTGTAATAAGAACAAAATTTGTTGTTGTTGTTTAGTCGTTAAGTCGTGTCCGACTCTTCGACTTTAACAAGGGCCTGAATATCAGAAAAAGAGAAGAGGACCCAGTTAAAGTCAATGATATAAGACTTTAACAAGGGCCTGAATATCAGAAAAAGAGAAGAGGACCCAGTTAAAGTCAATGATATAAGACTTTAACAAGGGCCTGAATATCAGAAAAAGAGAAGAGGACCCAGTTAAAGTCAATGATATAAGTTTCCCAGCATCAGGGTCTTCTCCAAAGAGATCTCTCTTCGCATTAGGTGACCAAAATATCTGAGCTTGAGCTTCATTATCGATCCTTCCAATGAGCAATCAGGGTTGATTTCCTTTAAGATTGAAAGAACAAAATAGCCATATGAAATTCATATGAAATTTAAATGCCTACAAATTATGAATTTCTAACAAAGGTGAAGCATTTGTGTGATACTGCTAATCATGGGTCATTTTGAAATGTTGAGAATTGGTTAAAAAATTGAATTAATTCTTCCCTTCTAGGTTCAAGCAATTGCCTTCAACACAGCCCTGATTTCATTGTTTGAAAGACCTTCCAGTTCTCTTGAAGATGAAAATGTGACAGTGACAATTAATTGGCAGGAGCTGGTTTCTGGATATCACAAATGCTGCTACACATTAAAACACAAAATCCATGATAAAGAATGGATTAGGCAAGGTACACATTTGAGAAGTAATAAAAGAAACCTCTTTTTAATCTTGTGCACTACCTTTGGCATATATTGTGCTGTGAGACAGAATATTGAAATGATGAAATCCTGTTTTTAAATGGCAAATTTATGTGTATCTCCTAAGCCCAGTTAAATATAAGATTTAAAATGTCCTCAAGTCAAGGTCAACATACCCATCCATGCAGTTTTATGGGTGACAATACAGAAGTGGTTTGTCACTGCCTTCTCAGATGTTTTCACTTTCTAGCCTAGCTTACAGCCCTGGGAATTTCTGGCCATCTCCCATTTAAGTACCAGCTAGGCCTGATTTTGCAAAACTTATGAACCTGAACAAAGTTTGCCAGGGACTAGATTTACTTTCTAAGTAAATCTAAGCTGAGATTTACCTTCTCAGAAAATGCTACATGAAGGTCTTAAATGGAAGGCTATAAGAGAACTCCCAAAAACTAAGGACAAATAGACATTTCAGCCTTATCTGGATAAAGAGGTGTTGGCCCTTCACTTAAACCCTTTGGGACATTGGTCTCCACAAGGGGAGGTCAAAATAGGCAAGATGACAGAGATGGAATTGTCTTTTGTATGGTGCTTTTGAGGGTGGAAGAAAGGTGCTTGATCTGGGGAGAGGGGGGAAATCTTAACAAATGTTTTCTCTGATTTGGAGTGCTGTGATAGATGTGTTTCCCATTAGCGTTTAATTTTTTTTGCCCTGATTATAAATTATTAGTTGCCCACCACATCCTTCAAAATTTCAAGTCAAAAGTAGAAATAAGTTAGAGAACAGATGATTTCCAACTGATGGTTTCCAGAATGAAGGATTCATTAAAATACCCTGCACCCCCAAACCTGACCTCTTTCTTTCAGTAGTTTTATATTCTTTTTAACTCCAGCATTTGCTCACTTTTAAACCAAAGCTTGAAGATGATACCAATGATTTCTGAAAGGCTTCATATTATGAAGTGGCTCTTTCAATTCTAAAATGAAAAAGCATTTTCCATAAATGACATAAATTATTCAGATCTGAATAATTAATAAATTTCTCACTGACAGAGAGTTATCACTCCTTTTCTGCCATAAAAATGTCCCCATTAATATAAAATTTCAAGCTTTCATTTCAACATTAAGTTGTCAGGTTGCAACCTGGAGATATCTGTTGGATCTTTTAAATCTCATAGTACAGTTTAAGAAAAGACAACCGCAGCATCTTCCTCTTGTTCTGCTCTGTCCTATTATTCATTCCCGTACCTGCTGCTATTGGCATACTTGGATTCTCATTCCAGGAATTAAAATAGGCAAGGAATTGGGACTGAGTGAAGAAACTCACTACAACCACCTTGATTCATGTGGCATCAGATACTTCAGTGGAGGATCTCCAGGTTGCAATCTAACAAGTCACTCTCTCTCAGCCTAACTCACCTCATAGGGTTGTTGTTGTGGGGAAAATAGAAGGAGGAAGGAGTATTAGTTATGTTCGCCACCTTGAGTTACTTATAAAAATAATAAAGGGATAAACAAATCTAAAAAACCCCTTTTTCTACCCTCAAATATTTTAAAGGAACAATAGTGGAGATTTCATTTGCATTCTGAGGATTGTAGTCCCATCACAATGCGAAAATGCTAGTCCTGGAAACTATCCCTATTGAAAAAATGCCCATCTATCTGGACTAGCCCAAGATATTTAACTACCTAAGGAACAAGACAAGACTGTCTCCTATTCCATTTCATCTACTGGAGAAAGCTGGGCATTCAATTTCATTGTCGGTGATAGGGCACTATCCTCTACTGCATTTGGGGTAGGGGAAAAATTGACATTGTGCCATATGTTGGTCTCTAAGAGAAAATGATGGTTTGGGGGCTTAGAAGAACCAGATGACATCCCTCTCTCTTAGGTTGAGAGAGAGTAACTTCTAGATTGCAACCTGGAGATCTTCCATTGAAGTATCTGATGCCATATAAATCAAGGTGGTTGTAGTGGGGGTTTTCACTCAGTCCCAAGCTTCTGATTCCTGAGTGGATTCTTCAGTCTGCCTAATGGCAAAATTGCCCTAGCATTTCTGAGAAAGGCATCAGCTGTTGGGCAACATAATTTTCTGTTCAACTGTGCCTGGGAAATGGAGTTACTACTGCCATACAAGCCAAAGTTCATAATGGTTTCTCTTCCTGAAGTAAGGATGCACTCTATACTGTACATTGCAATCTATTTTGGACAAACTCTAGAACATGAAATTTTGAAAAAAAGAAACAAATGTCATAGAATCGTTGAGTTATGTCTTGCATATTGCCTTGAAAGTACAAAGTCAGAAAAGTTCTTTTTGAAAAAGTTCGTTTGAAAAAAAAGTTATTTCAAAGTTATTTTGAAAAAAAGTTATTTTTGAAAAAGTTACTTCGAAAGTACAGAATCAGAAAAGTCTTGGTAAAAATGAAAGACAAATTTCTTCTGTATCCCAATTCAAACCTAAATTAGATGTGAAAAGTTTAATCATGGGATTTTTTTTTCCTGATATTTACTTGTTTACAAAATAAACAGGTAAAGGTACAGGTAGAGGTTGGATTTTTTTAAAAAAGTAAACAACAGCACATGGCTTAAATTAGATGTGGATGAAATATTTTCATCAATGGTGGTTCTTAGGCCCATGAGTGTTATGCCCCTAAAGACTATGGTCATGGAGAGATCCAGATTTGAACAAATTGTGCTCCAAATGGATTAATCCCACCTTGGTGATTGTTATCCTTTCTGTTGAAGTTTAATCTATTTCATTCTTCATTTATGCTCTTTATTATTTTAGAAATAGCTCATGCATGATGTAAAGGAAAACTAATAAAATTACACGTTGAATCAGCTAGCACCGTGACCCTGGAGTGGAGGCAGATAATGGTAACCAGGCCACTGTCCTTCTTTAGAGTGTGAATGGAATGGTGTGAAAGGAGGAAATATGCAGATACAATAAACACTATGGTTTACAGAACATGATGATGGCATCTAAAGGATAGAATCCTTATAGTGTGAAGGGATGCGGGGACACCATAACAAGGTCATCCCCAATCTCTTCACAAAGACATTCAGTGTAAGGCTTATCTTGTGATTTACAATATTTTCTTAGCTTTCTTAGGTAGCGTAACAACCCAGCTGCATATAATCTGTAACCTGGATTTGTTTGGGGCTCTTCTGCAGTTCTTTGGTGGGGAGTCCAGTGATCACTGTAGTTTGCATGTGCCAATATACTTTGTTGCATCTATCTCCAATTGCTTCGGCCCCTCACTGAAAGGGGGCATTTTCCCCACAACAGCATGGGATAGTTAGCGGGATTGGAAGGACAAGAGCAGAGGCCTGTACCCTTTTTCCTCTATGCTTCATAACCTGTTTCGAGATACTTGCAAGGGTTGGGGGGGGGGGGTTAATGATTTTTTAAAAATAACTTTTTTTTTATGCTAGCCTTTACATATAAGAGGTCTCCATTGCTGGAGGTTTCCATGTAGAGGGTAGCTATTCCTCTGTTATGAATTATCTAGTTCTGTATTTCCTCAGCCCAAACTAGTTAAATTAATAGCCTACATGTCTATTTCCAATTCTGATTTTATCATTCTCTAAGAAAATACCTTCTGCTGTTTAATTTCTTCATCTTTTCTTCAGGCAGCAGAGCATTTTAATTTGCCATGCATGCTTTTGATGCAAAAATTGCTCCGACATCACCTTTCCCAGTCAGGCATCTTCCAAGGAAGTTGATTTACAGCTTAATTTAGTCAGCAACAAGTAGAATTGTAAAGATTAGTTGGCTCATAACATATATTTTATTCTCATAAAAGTCTCTAAGGCCTGCTGTACTGCTAAAGTATGCCTTTAATTTTTTTTTTTAAGAAATTCTATTTCACCACAAAAACTGCAAAGCAAACATTTCAGAAGCATATAACAAATCTATTTTCCAAATACTTAGCCTTCTGATAGCAAATGTGTTTATTTTAATGTTTCATTCTTGCAGAGACATAACTGCTTTGAATTTCAGATTTTTATTTGGGTCCTTTCTTACCCACTAGGTTTTTAAGGTATGCTCTTAAATTGTTTGCACATGAGCACATAAAAAGGCAATCTATGAACATGCCACCCATACATTTTTCAGGTTGCTGAAATTCATGAGGGCTCCCTGAAACAAATGCTTACTTGTTAGAGATTCCAGGGTGAGCTACGCTGACTTATATCCTGGCAGAGATTCAAAACATCTGTCAAAAATGGGGGGGGGGAATCTAGTTCTGATATGGGAAAATGGTGAAGCCACATATGTGAATGCTTGGGGAATAAAGGAACAATTAGAACATCTGGTTTCTCCCCCCCCTTTTTTTTTTTTAAATTTCAGAGGAAAAATGACAAATGTTGGGGAAAAACATTTGTGGAACACTTTTTAAATCACAAAACTCCAAGGGATATTCAAGAGGTATGGAAAATTTATTTCATACTGAGTCAACCTGATCAGTAATCTGACCCTCCTCAGTTTATCAGGAAATTTTTGCACTTTTCATTCACCATCAGGCTAATTTATAAGCAAAGTTAGTTTAGGATGTGTGTTCATGAAGATCTGATTTGGCTGCTCCTGACATATCTTTCATTGACCTAAGTGGGGACAGAAGCTGGATTCAGCACAGGATGCTTAAAAACTGATCTGACCTGCCCTTTCGTAGGTCTGCTACAAAGTATTTTTAAAATCTGACTTAACATTAGAATGTTAAAAGCCTGATCAATTATGCATAGAATGGGTCCTGTGAGAGGCACAGATGGCCTGAGACCAGACAGGTCCATTACAATAACAGCGCATGGATATCAGCCACCTCTCTCACTGAGAGGTGATCAACTCTTAGACTAGTAGGATTCCCCGGTGTGAAAAGGAAATGCAAGTTTTGTTCGTGGGGAGAGAGAGATGAATAGATGGCTGGCTAGCTACTATACATGTGTGTGTGTGTGTATGTGCCTGTAATTGGCCATTGCTGCTTTTCTGCTCTAGTAACAACTTTTCTAGTATATGCAATAACACTAATTTATCAAAGAGCAGGGTTCTTGCATCTCCGCTTTGTAGCCTTCATGTTCAAGTAATAGCCAGGGTGAAGCCAGTCACAAACCTTCACTACGTCACACCAGGTGGCAGCACCTAGCTGATTTTTGTTGATCTTGCCAGTTAAGCAGGGCTGTTGACCTGACTGGGAAATTAAAAATAAAAAAATAAAAACCCAAAAGTAAGCAGTGGCAAACCACTTTCATAATGGCAAGAAAACTGCATGAATGCAATCTCCAGGAATCAAGCTCCATAAGAACGTCTTTACCTTACCATTCTCAAAAAAGTTATCCCTAGGTTTCTGGAAGGGCTCACAGCTCTGAAAATAATTAACCAATTTGGACCTACTAAGTCTTCATCTCATTAGAAAATAAACAGAAGGAGAAAAAAGGATGGAGAGAATAGCCCCTGAAGTCTCATTCAAGAAGGTGACATAATGTTCTCCACTAGTGCTGAACTTCAGTTTTTTATGGCTAAATAGATTTTCCAAATCTGATAAAAAGCAATAGTAACCATGTTGTTTGTGAGGAAAGAATCCAAAAGTGACAGACACAGTTAGGTCATCTGAAGTGGTATAAAATCACTGCCTTTCAAGCAGTGAGTAATTTTTGAGGATAGCATCCACCCACCTTTGTTAATTTCATGTTATTTACAAGGATTCAGCACAACTACATCAGTAACTCATTTTCTAAACTGTTTTCTTGATTTTATCTCTTTGGCTATAGTACTGCATACTTGGAAAAATAATTGGATGTTTTTCTGAATTTTGCAATTCAATTTTTAACTCAGACCAAAATGTGCTTTAAAATGCACATTTTAAAATAAAATGTGTTTAGAAATATGTGCATTGCATTTATAATGTTGCATTTACATATTTTCTGACAGAGTTGTGTATAAGTGAGCTGCCATGGAAATTGAAATTGTGTTTGTGTATAGACACACACACATGGATAAACACATATGCACACATATACCTATAGCATGCATGCACGCACACACACACGCACACACATGCATAAACACACATGCAAACTTATACCCACAGCATATATATACACACACGCACATGCACACACACACACATATCTCAATTTAAATATATCATGCATACAAGGTTTTACAAAATATACAAGGTTTCATTAATATGGAAATGAGATGGGATGGATTTATGAAAGAACTCATCTTAAAGTTATGCTGATTAAAAATGTCCTGATTTACTCAGCATTCAATATTATATAAACTAGTAATAGCAGACCCATCACAACTGACTCAACCCAAGATAAGAACTGTTGCTTCATGCAGAACTTCATTCAAATGTCATTTCTGTCTCATTTCAGTTCTGTACAGCTCATCTTTAGATGCATTCTTGTCTGTGACAACCAGCAGCACCAAGACATTGGTGCTAGCCTGGAGAGAAAAATTAAGTCCTTGCCTAACAATGACAGCTTTCCATATTGACCAGGGAGTCAATGCATTTGACTTTCATTCCAGGCTTAACTTGATAGGTATGTATGTTCCACATGATTTCTCTATCCTTATAAAATGTAATGGGTCAATTAAAAGTCTAAGGGAAAGAGCAGGAAAGGCTGAAGTATAGGACCCTGTAACCAAAAAGGGTTCAGATAAAAATTCAGAACATGACAGTAAATAGAGAAGTCCAGATATCGTCTGGTTAGGATCTACACTGACGTGAGCTTGTTGGGTCCCATTGAGGCTGACCTTGGTTGCCTGGGCTCCTTCTCCTTAAAAAAAAAAAAAAAAAAGATTTTATAGGGAAAGATTGGTCCATTGAGCACATAAATAGTTAAAGATGGTGCCACTGAGAAAAATTCTCCTGTGTTTTTTCCTATCAGCTATCATTCTGTTTCATGAACAAGAATTTGCTTTTGAAACTTATTTCAAAGGAGAAAAGTATTCCAGTGAAATTCTCTTGGGTGGAATGTGAGGTTCTGGCACTCATTTAGCTATGAGATAGATGGGGATACACAGTATGAGGATATCCAGTCTTTCACTATGCAGTTATGACTCTGATGATCTATTTTCTTCCTGGCTGTCCTTGCTTCAGTTGAATCCCAAGGGAAGACATTCTCAGGTCTCTCTTCCATTGGACTTTTTCAAATTAGGAAATGTGAATAGCAAAAAGCAATGGAAATGTGGAACAGAAAACAACACAAGCAACCTTCAGGCATCCAGTAAGCTCAAAACACCAGCAAGGGAACCTCTGTAGAAATTCTCAACTATTATGAGTTTATTATCTCTCAAGAATAATATAGGAAATCTTTTGGTAGACAGTGGTGTCTGCAGAAGGAATCAGAATCTGCAAGATGGCAGACATGGTGTCATGATTTAAGGCCCACTTATTTTGCATGTGCTTCGACATTGCATGCATGTACAAAAGACAAGGGCTTGGATTGTGATCGTTGGATTGCAACATCTTAAAGATTTTGACCACCATGACTACCACCCTGCTGGTAAAGGGAGAAAATCTCTGTAAAGCTACAAGGCAGGTGTTGACACTGTGCTAATTCCAAATGTTAATTGTATTTTTAAAAACATGTAAAATAAATGTTTAAAATTTAACATTCATTTCCACAACAAAAGTGTGCTCGTTCCCAAGTAAGACAAAGTTGCCTAAAACTCCTGTGCCTCCCTGAAGTCTCTAACCCACAAAAAGTCCTGACTAATGGCAGCAATAATATTTGTGTTTATCATAGGGAAAGAAGTGTAAAATGAAGGAGTCATTTTCTGGGCTGGATTCCACCCAGAAAGGTGCAATAAATCTCCATGAAGTTGTAAAACATGGCATTTACTAAGTGGTGGTTGTATCTTAGAACTCAAGACTTATATATCTCTGGCCTTTTGTATGACAAATGCAAAAAAGAAAAAGAAAAAAATCATAGAGAAATATAACCAAGATGCGTTCCCTGAGGAACTTTGCAAGCCAAGCTTCTGTGAGAACTTTGAGAATTCTGTCTTCTTAATCTCTTCACAAAATGGCAGTACTTCCTGGAAAAACAATGATGCAACTCTATAAGGCTTCTTGTACAGATTGCCTATGCTGCTATGTCCCACTACCACTTCTGTAGTCCATGAATGCTAGGGTATAGCTTTTCAGTTTTTGCTTCATCAGTCAGATTTTTTTTTTTTTTAAGAAATATATTGAAAGGCTGATTTGCTGATGGAAGGTATTTTAAGCTTGGCACTTTAAAAAGTGCATATGGAATTCAGCTCTGGGTACAAAGCAGTGCTGGTAGGTAAAAGGGAAGAAAGGGAGCCTGACACGAACTGGATTGATGGGAAAACCAGCCAAGAAAATACCGCACAGAGGTAGCAAGGGGCTGGGCAGTGTGAACAAGAGGCTAACTAGCATAACACATATTCTGATCAAGTCATAATGGACAGAAAAGCTAGAAGGAAAAGGAGACTGAAATGCTAGAACAATCGAATTGTAGGATAAAGTAGAGTTCAGACCCATGTGTGAAAAGACATGTGCAAGGTAATGATATTGGTAGAGACCCTTGCTGCTAATTGAAATATTCGACTATTGCCCATGTTTCCTCTTTATAAAAGTGATTCAGGTAAGAAAGGTAGATATATGCTATATTATTTCAGGTTTGAACTGGTTTAATGAGTATAAATATTTCAAATGGTAGTATGTCATGAATGGGGGAAAAATTGGCTAGAGAAACCAAGCCTTTCTGGAAAAGCTGCAATTCCCTGGTGGAGAAGAAATAATTGTTGAACCAGTTTAATTTGGTGGTATAGTGTATTTGTCTCTAAAAGGAAGAAAGCTATTTGGCAAGTATTTCTCAGCTGCCAGACTACTTGCTCTGGAGCTTTGCCAGTGGCATATGGATGGATAATTCAAGGTTGATTTATTTTCTAAAAATCTGGTCATAAATTTTATTGCCATAGTTTAGCATCTTATTAAGATGATATATGCCAGGGGACCAATATGTATATGATGGTCAATAGTCTTTCCTCTGTTTAGAGATTGCATCTATTCCCAGACTCATTCTGAAAGGAGGAAGGGGATCCTGATAGCCTGCATAGGGTGAAAGATGTTTTCTTTCTGTTGTAAGAGAAGGCAAGGTGCGCATGAAAAAAAGTGAGGGGTGTGTATGTTGTGGCAGGTTCTCATTTGAGAACCTATGGGCTAGGAGGGAAGACTAGGTGGGCCTTATAAAGCCTACGCTTGAAGGATTCTCAAGATGCTTTGGGAGGTTTTCTTTTGTGTGTGTGTGTTTGTGTGTGTGCCTTTGAATCAGGTTTTCACTCCTGGCAACTGCCTGGACAGGTTCCTGGAGTTTTCTTGGCAAGGCTTTTCAGAAGAAATTTGCCCTTGCCTTCTTCTTCCTAGGGCTAAAAGAGAGTGACTGGCCCAAGGTCATCCAGTTGGCTTCATGCCTAAGGTAGGATTAGAATTCAGTTTCCTGCTTTCTAGCCTAATGCCTTAACCGCTACACCAAACTGGCTCTCTCCTTTTGGAATTACCTCTTCTTTATATTTTTTTTTAACTCAAATGGAAATGTGGTAGCACAAAAGTAAAGTACAGTAAACCAAAGTAAATTTGTTTTGCAAATCTTAGGGGTTTGATTCCTGTTTCTTTGCATGGAAGATGCTCTTTGGCTACATAAGCAATGACTGTTATGTTGGACTGTCATAAAACAGAGGCAGAGATATATGTGATAGTTATCATTATAATTTGTTTTTTCAACCCTGTAACAGAAATAATTGTTGCTTCCTCTCCCCCAGTTTTTAAGAGGTAACCTCATTGACTGAATCTAAAAGATTGCATAGAGTAGCCTACAAGGTGTAGTGTACTCACTATTTCCTTCTCTGAATCACATAGGTTCTAAATCAAAGGAAGCAGGTTATTAATGTCACAAAGAGATAAAAGGCAGCCTTTCCCAGCCTGGTGTCCTTGATATAGAGTGCCAGGCTGGGAAAATTATTAGAATTACAGTGTTACTATTTTTTAAACAACATGGCCAAAGGCACAGTGGCTGGAAATTCTGTGAATTGCTGCTCAAACACATCTGGACTTGGCTGGTTGGATAAGGCTGGTCTAAGTTGAACAAACCTAGAAATTGGAATGGAATTCATTCTTTTTTGTAGTTATAGAGCTCTATCTATCAGATCTGATTCAATTTGGACAATTGCATTGATTTGAATCAACAAATTGATTTGATTTAGATTTCCAAATCAAACTGTCAAATTGAATTGAGCTGAGTCATATAATCAGTTAGGAAAAATGATATTGCATGCATTACCAAGGGTTGAATCACTGAATCTATTCAGAGGCATCAATTCAACATTTGAATCAATTTGGCAATTCAGGTAAGAAAATTGATTCAATTTGGAGATTTGATCAAATCACAATTCACTTGGATTTCTGAATCAGATATTTCTACACTGATAATATACATTAGTCACACCTTGGAACAGTTTTGTAAAACTGTATTTCAACTTTATGATTCTGAACAGCGACTGCAGGAATTAATTGCTCCGTCTGCCTTTGGAATCCTTATGTCACATCAAAACCTGCTGGAATCCTGACAGGTCATTCAGACAGTGTAATAGCTGTCCAGTTCATTACTGAGCACAAACTGCTCTTCAGCTTTGCCAAGGATAAGGTGAGTGTTGAAAGAACCTGCCAAACATAGCTCATTACGCTATACAAGACTCCAGTATAGGAAACTAAATTCACTGTGCCACTTGGTAACATTAACACTAGACTTGTTTAGAAGCAGTTTGAGGATCCACCTGGATTCATGGCTCAAAGAGCAGGTGGCAACCATGGCTAGGAGGCCCTTTGCACAGCTACATGTTGTGCACCAATTACACTTATTCCTGGACCAGGAGGCCCTGCTCATGGTCACTCACACCCTGATTGGGAGAATTGGCTACAGGAATGTGCTGTTCATGGGGTTTTCTTTGAAGTGCATCCAGAAGCTTCAGCTGGTGCAAAATGCAGCAGCAAGGTCAGTTATGGGCATCATTCATTCAGCGCATGTGACACCTCTGCCCTGCAAGCTGCATTGTTTGCCAGTATGCTTCTGGGTTCACTTCAAGGTGCTGGTACTGGGCCATAAAGCCCTTCATGGCATGGGGCTGAGTTACTTGCAGGACTGTCTCTGCCCACTTGAATCTACCCATCCCGTCACATCCAGCAGGAGACATATGCTCTGGGTCCTGTTCATGAGGGAGTGCCATCTGGCCGTAAGAGAGTCTTGCCTGTTGTGGTGCCCACCCTCTGGAACATTATTCCCCCAGAAATTAGACTTGCCCTGACCTACTGGCTTTTCATAAGGCCTTAAAAACCTGGCTTTGTTGCCAACCTTGAGTCCTGAGTTGTGCAGTTGAGCCTGTATATTGGTTATGCTGGTTTTATCTTGGCTCCTATATTTGTTATTTATTGTTTTGAAAATTGAATAAATTAAATGAATGAATGAACAAATGAATAAACTTAAGCATAGTCATAGAAAAAGCATCCCTCTGTAGTTCTTCTGCAACTGGAGTAAAAAGGAGAACTTTCTTCATGTGGGAAGACAGAACCCTTTAGGTATCCATATCTAAACTGTGCCTGGCAAAGGATTTGATACCAGGCACAAATGTGGCAGCCATGTTGAACCAGAGGGTTACTTCCTTCTAAGTGATTTCCTAGACTCCCTTCTTGTGGGCATCTATTGGATTTCTAGAGGGTTAAATCACTTATAGTGTCACATGAAGACTCTAGAGCAGTGTTTCTTAACCTTGGCAACTTTCAGGTGTATGGACTCCAACTTCCAGAATTCCCCAGCCACCCAGTCTGGCTGGGGATTCTGTGAGTTGGAGTCCACACATCTGAAAGCTGCCAAGGTTAAGAAACACTGCTCTAGATAAAAGTAACACATTTTCAGTGGGTCAAAGCTAAACTGCACCTTCCCCCAAAAAAGTATCTCTATACTGGGAAAAATGTATGTTAATTCACTGAAAGATAAACTGCCCTAGGAACAAGCTAAAGTTGGCACTCTAAGCTAAATTCTTCATTATTAATGTGTCTCATGAAGACATGAGATTGGAACCTGGATCTAGAGAATACAGAATGTGCTCTGATTGAAACACTGAAGAAAATTTTATTAAGCTATTAAGTTTCATTAAATATCTTAATAGTTGGCTAACACTGTCTTCCCTTTGCTGCTCAGCCATTATTTTACAAGCAATCTTGTGTTGTTTTTGGCATTAGCATAAATCTGTTTCACTTTGATGGATGAATGGGCATCAGCAATGGTAGCTATTTACATACAAAGCCTTCTGCTCTGCTTAAGCAATCTCTTACTGATGCCAGCAGTCCAAATTAAACATCACAATCCTGTGTAGGACAAATGGCAGAATAAAAGAAGATGAAAAGGCTTCCTTTCCAAAAAGGCTTGATCTGACAGCTCAGAAAAGAAAATGACAATGACGAAGAGCCTAACATTGGCTTGTGCTTCACATGGAATAAAAACTACACCAAGAGTTTCTTAGAGTCGGAGAGCTGGAAGAAACCATTTATAAGTCCAATCCCATTTTCAGGTTCCCCATTCTCTGCTAGCACTGTCTAGTATATTCTGGAGACATCCAAATCTCATTGGGCCAAAATAAGAAAGACAAGGACAGATTTTAATGATGGCTGGGTGAAGATGCTATAAATGACTGTTGGAAAACAAATTCAGGGTAGGAATCCACATCAAAGCATCCCCAAGAGATGTCCAGCCCAACAGAAATATTGAAGGGGAACTTCCTATCATTCAACCAGAATCTGTAACTTAAGATCTTAATTCTGCATCCTGTACTCTTGAACAATAGAAGGTCATGGCCCTTCTTCAGGAACTTGAGGAATTGTATTACATCTTTCTCAACCTTTCTTCTTAAGACTAAACACATCCAGTTTCCCTAAGCTATCCTTATAGATTTTGGGCCTGAGTATGCAATATTTTTGGCCTGAAATGCCTTGTTTTGCCTTTGTGTGCTGCCATTGAAGCATGCACTGAGGTCATGAATAATCAAAGTATTTGGGTCTAACATTTTTGGCCTGTTTTTTTGATGAGAAGTTGAGAAGACATTGGATTTTTTAAAAAATTAGTTTTACTTCTAATTGATCCCCCCCCCCCCTTCTCTGCACAGATATTAAGGCTTTGGGACATTCAGCATCAGCTTTGTGTACAGAGGATTGCCGGATCCTTCCCTAAAAGCATGGACTTCTACTCCATGCTTTATTTTGATGAATCCCAAGGTCTCCTATTCATCTCACTGAACAACCAACTGATGGTACTGGAAATGGAGCAAGATTTAGGGAAAAGGAGAGTGGCAAGTCACAAGAAAGCTGTGACTTGCCTCCTTTACAATTCAGTGCTCAAACAGGTAAGATACAAAAGAAAAGGAAACTTTTTGTAATTGTCTGAGAAGCTTTTTGAAATTCATATTCACCCTTTTCTGGATGTATTTTTTCAGCAAGTAAAAATTGAAACACCAGAGGCATTTGGAAAGGAATTTCCTCTGTGCTCTGATGCAATAATTGTATTTCACTGGCTTTCCTTTAAGACACCGGCATTTTGCCCTCTCTAGAATTTTATTTCAGTACTGGACACCACCCAGTTTTTGATAGCTTAATTAACACTGTGCTGAAGTCTGGCTTGCATTTTGTCAAAAGCTTTCTTCTCTTCTCCTTTTGTGCTCTGCTTTTCTGCGCTATACTCAGGATGTGCAAGAATTTCTTTTTAATTTCTGCTGGTGGCATTTTTGAACTGACTTTATTCATAGAAAGGGTGAAAGATGTTAATAGTAATACCACTGTTTTCTGTTATGCGTTTGTCCATGACTCGGAACTTCCATGACTGCTTCCCCTTTCCCGTCTGAAAGGGTTGCGTGAGAGGGGTTCTGCCGTGTTCTTCTGTTTGGCTATAACTGAAGTCCAGGAAGTCAGGGAGTATGCAGATGGTTGAAGAGATGTTTCTTCAGTGAAAGGCAGGATGTTTATACATGCTCTTGGCACAGTATCATTAAATAAGTTTGAGAACTCTACTCTTCACCTAGGAACATGACATTCTGTCTTCTTCTCAACAGCAAATTCTCTTTCATCAAATTGAGTGAAAACTGTAAGCAAACTGATTATGGACCTTAATGATGGTTCTGCTTAGTTTAATTCAGTTCAAACATCTTCTACAGGGTCAACTGATAACAGAAGTAGAATCTAATTATCTTTCTTAACACACACACACACACATACACACACACACATACATATTACACACATATACGTAGGAGAGCCAGTTCGTAGGAGAGCCAGTTCGGTCTAGTGGATAAGGCTCCAGGCTAGAAAGCAGGAGACTGTGAGTTCTTGTCCCACCTTAGGCATGAAAGCCAGCTTTGGGCCAGTCACCCTCTCTTAGCCCCCTATGTCAGGCTCGGGCAACAAGCCAGTTGGTCAATTCCTTTTGCAACCAATGGATAAACATTTGGTTGACCTGAAAAAAGTAGACTTTGCACATGTAAGGAAAAATGCTAGGAAGATGTGTGTGTGTGTGTGTGT